AGGAGCCAGCAAGGACCTTGACCGTTTCAAGGCTGAATGCGGCATCTATTTCCACGTCCACACGGCCGAGTTCCCCACCCCCCTCTCTAAGATCCTCTTTGTGTTGTCCTACATGAAGGGGGGGACTGCAGGTGCATGGGCGACCCAGCATACCATCGCACTGTTAACGGCAAACTCTCCCACCCTCACCATGGATGAGTTCAACACGGAACTCAATGCCATGTTCCAGGACCCCAACTGGGAAGCCACCGCCCAGCGGAAGTTGGCAGGCATCCAACAGGGGAGTGACTCCATGGACAAAGTCATCCAGGAGTTCAAGATACTGGGACCCACCTTGCAGCTAGGCGATGTTGGGCTTGTCGACTGTTTCGAGCAAGCAATCAACGCCCGGCTCTGTGAGAGTATATATCGCCTCCGCCCCATGCCTACCACCTGGGCTGAGTGGAAACGTGAAGCCACTCTCCTGGACAACCAGTGGCGACGCTTCCAGGCAACGCAACCCCACGTGCCCCCGCCCAAGGCTCCATTCACCCTGATGCGACCCCTGCCAACCGCAAACCCCCCTCATGCACGTCCCACACCTGCAGCCCCACAACCTGGGCCTGCAGCCCCACCCCCAACTCCTGCAGCCCGCCCCCTACAGGGACGGGCCTGCAACCCATGGACCTTGACCGCTCGAGGACTGACCAGAGGAGGAATGGGCTATGTTACAACTGTAACACCCCAGGGCATATCGCACAAGACTGCCTGCAACCTAAGGTCCACCGGGTCCGACACCTCCACCCGGAAGACCTTCGAGCACTGATGGAGGGGTTGAAGAGGCAGCTGACTGAAGAACCAGAGGGAGAGGGGGAAGAGCCAGAGGCAGGGCCTCAGGAGGATTTTCAGGAAGGCAGCCGGTGAGGGATGCATCCCAGGCGCCTGTAGAGGATAACTCATGTAAATACCGCAGTGCACGTAAGCCAGCAATGCCAAAGCTTCACCAAGTTATCGCAAAAAAGAGGAGAAAAAGTGCATCTCCAGCATGAGAGAGTGAAAGAACCCCAGGGGTAACTGTCATATCCGTGCATACCTGACCCCGACCCGACTTCCGGACCTCCACCCTCTTCACCTCCGGAGTCATACCCTACCGCTGCCGTTCCGATACTCACCTTTGGTCCTGGCAACACACCTCCTTCTACCCCCCACGCCACCTCTACTCCTCCTTCCCTCACCTCCCCTATCTCCGTCCGCTCCGATACTCACCTTGGACCGAACACCGCCCCTGTCGCCACCCTCCTACTACTTCCCCTCCTCCTACTCCACTCCTCCTTCACAGCACCTCCACCCTCTCGTCACCCTCCTACGCTTCCCCCGTCCGCTCTGATACTCACCTTTGGACCTGACAACTCTCCTTTCCGCCACTCTTTCTCCCTTACCCTTCTCCTCTCTCCTCCCTCTGATTGTTAGGTACGGGTCAGCAAACGGGGACGACTGGCGGGACAAGGCTCCGGGGTTGGGCTTCGGCCTCAGCGACTCCAAGAGAGCGCTGTGCCCACCTACTGTCTCAGTGCCCACATTTCGAAGTGGCTTGGGCTGCCTTGTTAGGGGGGACAAACCATGTCGATATTCAGACTAAAGTTATAATAATGTAATATACATATATATATAGTAAGAAACTGAATGAGTCAGGTGACAAAATGAAACAAAAGGAAACAGAATAAGGGCCGGCATCTGGGTCAGAATGCATGGTCGTGACACTGATACTCCTCCGCCGGCCTCCCGCCAAGTTACGACCTTCCACTGCTGTCCCATACTTCGTACTCGGACACCGCCCATACCTTTGCTCCGAGTCTCCGTCATAGTCCCTACCTCGGACTTTGACTCCACCTCGGCCTTAGTCCATTGCATTGGTGACCTCATACTATGTAAACACCATTGCCAATATCCCTCGGACTTTCAACCCCGCCTCTGTAACCTCTGTAAGCTCTGCAACCTCCGAGCTTCACGGATCGCCTTCGGCACTTTCGCTGCTTGTAATGTATCTCTCGTGTTTTCCCCTCATCCCTATTTGGACTACTGCTTCTTCCCATTCTAGCCAGTTAGTCATCATCCCCACTTCTCCTCATCCTCCTGCCCCTCTGGGCCTCACCCTCCCTACCTCCTTTCGGACGTATCACAGGTCCTGACTTATGACCTTCGGTACCGCTCCGCTTCTTTTACCCTTTGTTCCTGTTTGGACATCTTCATTCCGATTCAGTTTCCCTTTGTTTCCTTGTGCTTTTGCCCCCTCCATTATATATATCGGCACTTGTACATACTTGTTTTGGTTCAGTCTGAAATCGACCTGAAATGCCCCCTAGAGACTTCCTGCTCACCTACTGTGAAATTAAGGACCAAATGGACAAACAGCAATGGCACAGCACTCTGCTTGAGTCGCTGAGGCCAAGGTCCCTCCACGCTAAGTCTCCGATTCCACTCCAGAGTCGTCTGTATCCACCTGGTTCTAACAGTAGTTGACCATAGAACAGAAATAGAGAGAAAGAGGAAAGAGGAAAGGAGGGAGAGTGGGGAGTGATAGCGGGGGGAGTGGAGTATGGCAGGGCAATGTGGGATGCAGCATGGGGTCAGGTGGAGTATGCCCTGACAGGGGGCTCCTGTTGATATCATCATGTAGTGTGAGAATGGAAAATAGAACACCATAATATACTGTGCATCCTTTGAATAATCATAGCTTCTTTCAGCAAGGACATCATACCCCCTTCCTGTGCCATGATCTGTTCAACTGAGGTGAACAATGCGACATCTGAGGCTGGTGCTCTTGGTCTCAGCAGTGGCTCAAAGGAGGATGGCAGGTGTGGATGAGAGGGTGGGAATCCTGACATGTATTGGGAGAAAGGGGCTGAGGTATGGGCTAGGTTGAACTGTACATCTTCCCCGACTGGAGGTGAATGAGGGTGATGCTGTTCTGGGAGTCAGGATGGAGGTGTGGCCTGATGGCATTCCGGCTTGGTGGAACCAGACATCTTCCATGCCTGGAGGTGAAAGATGGCGATGGTGTTCAAGTGCATGTGGAGACTCTGCACAATGGCATCTAAGGCCCCCAATCCTGAATGGCCCAAGAAGCGAGAGGAATGATGAGAGAATTCCTCGGATGAGGACACTGGATGCAGAGGCCAGGGGCTTTGATGAACTGGATGTTGCTCCACCGCTTGCAGGTCATGCAGATGGTAAGATCTTTGTACATGCTTGGGTGATCTGCTTCTTTGTGCAGGTGAGCATTGACATGAGGAATGGCCTCACTGATGCCATTGGTGTGTGAGGCTTATACTCTGAGTGGGGACTTGTGGATGTGGCAAGCTTCTTAATGGACCTCCTGCAGTGCTGAGAGGTGTGTGATGCTGATGACACATGGGAATCGTCCCTTTCTGAGGCTAACATGGAGGCCCTCCACCTTCCACTCTCCCACTCATTGCCACTGAGGAGTTCTTCTGGTTCAGAGGAGGCCCCATTGTCGTCCTCTGGAAAGTGAAATGGCACATGAAATCCCACTCAGATATGTCCATCCACTGTGAAAGTGCAAAGGGAAAGGAGGCAAACCCCTCCAGGAGGGTAGGTTGGCCCTGTGGGCTTGGAACGGTTGCGATATCAGATGTCGTTAAACATGATAGCCAGCTCATGCACCAGACCGATCGGTCCTGATGTTATGGGGTCAACATTCTGTATGAGATGCTGTTCCCAGTGCTGCATGCAGACACATTCTGCAATGCCCTGGCTAGTGCCCTTTGTTGCTTTCTTCATCAACTTGGTCCACTCTGATGGTCTCACCCTCTTGAGGGAGACTTCACCCAATGTCTTTCTTCCCCATTTTTTCAGACACATTTCCAGTCCCCACAGACCAAATTCCCACACCCACCCAGCAGCACAGCCACACTCAGATTGGATTTCACTTACCTCAGCAACCACAGCACCAAGGTGGATGATATTGGTACCATTGGAAATGCGTCATTTAGGAGTATTAGGATCCATGATTAGCGGGAGTTCATTGGTGATGGATAGAGTTGGACATTTTTGGTCAGATACCATTTATTGCTTTATTGTTTTTTTTTGATTATTGTTTTCCTATCAGTACTTTGATGATATTTAGTGCATCGAGCAAAGCAGAGGCGATATAGTGAAATGACAAAACCTATTCCACCCAGCACAGCAGTGTGTAATCACCCCACATGACCTGAGTGGTTGGAGACTGCATTGAAAGCTGGGTGTGGCCTAGCAGTGGGCTTTGCCCTAGGATGCCAAATGAAGGGAGGTAAAGGTGACTAATGCAGTCGAAAGCTCTTTCGCACCCTGGTACAGCAGTGTGTAAACACCCTGCATGACCAAGTCCCTGCATCAGGAAACCCCCAAGGCTGATTGAAGTGGTTGAGGTGGATTGGGTGGATTGGGCAGATTGAGTGATTGAATTGCTCTCAACCACTTCAATCGGCCTTGGGGGTTTCCTGATGTGGGGGCGTTTGGTATCTCTGTAATAGCAGCAAGTCACTAGAACACTCTGCTTTACAGAAATGCCAAATGCCACTGAATTGAACGGCCCAGCATGATGTGGGGTGTGATGCCTCTGTTTTGAATGGGAACTGTAGAATAGATTAAGTAAAATTGTTACCTACTTGATGATGCGGTTATATGCCTGGTTTACTAAGACCTGGGACCCTCTGATTGACAAGAGGTGTGTGACACTGGGCAGGGTGGTGGAGCTACAAAGAGGGTATCAATGAGATCAATGATCAAACGGTGCTGGTATGCAGGCTAAACACAAAGTGGCACTTACATTTACAATGATTGGCTGCCACTCCCACACTGTCTGAATCAAGCTGCCTGCAGTTTGATGTCTGGTTTCAAAGTGCCAAGTTTTGGGGCCACATTCAATATTCCAAATGTAGTGAATAGAAGTTGAAGAAGGTTAACAATCTTGAAAATGGAACCCCAAGGGAAGAAAGATGTGCATGCACTCACCTTTGATGATGAGGGAAAGTGTCACATCCCGGAATCCTGACCCCATACGCTCCCACCCCACTACACCTTCCCAACAACCTCATCATCCCCTACACCATATCTCCCCACTTCCCAACATCACCTTCCATCCCAACTGTCTTAGCTCCGGCCTGGACTTCGGCACATTTGCCCTTGGCCATCTCCACCCCGGAAGCTCAGTCCTGAGATGGAGCATTCAGAACCTCCGGATTTGCTCGGACCTCCTGACAGATTTCCGACATCTTGTTATACACCTCTAACCTTTCCCCTCCTCATTTCATTTAGTGGAGTCACCCAACATTCCTTGGATACATAACTCCAGCTTTGGAGCTACCCACATCCCCCAGTGACCCTGCTCCAGTCAGCTAACTTCACCTTACCCATTTCTCATTCCCATTTTATCCTCCAGCATTCTACTCCACCCTCCTCGACCCGACACCTTGGTTCCCCGTTAAAGATACCTTTCGGTACCTTTCAGTACCTGTCGGTATCACTTGGACTTTGTCATATCCATACAATCCTGACCTCCATTCCGGGCTCCCGGAACTCTGAACTCCGACTTCTGGAGCCCTACTTCCCTTCCGTCACTTTCTCCTTGCCGACTCCCAAGAGGTTATCCCACCTCCGGCTCGGACACCACCTTCAGTCCGACTCCGGAACATTCCGGGTCCGACCCCAACCTCGACACCTTCCAGATGAGTATGCAAAACCTATGCTCCCAACTCTGGACCTCTGCTCCGGAATCCCGTTCGCATCTCCGTCTCCGGAACCTCCGGTCTTAGCTCCGACCTCGGACTTTGACCCCACCTCCGCTTATACCCATTGTATTGGTTAGCTCATTCCATTTAATTATGTTTGCCAATATTCCGGAGTTTAACTTCCGAGTTCGGACTTTCCGGACTTACTCCGGACCTTGCAACTATTGCATTGTCCATTTCAATTCCGCTATTCTCCCTCATTCCTATTTGGGCTGCTGCTTCCTTCTATTCAGTCAGCTAGCCATTCCCGACTCCCATCCTCCTTCCTTCCTCCTTGGGCCTTGGCCCTTCATTCCCCCTTTGGGAAACACCATTGAGTCAACCACTTGACCCTCGGTGTTGTTCCTCTTTCCATCTCCCTTTGTCTCCTTTTGTCCTACCCTTGTTCCTTTTGATTCCGGACCCCTCCTTATATACAATGTACCTAGTAACTTGTAACCTCAGTCCGAAATCGACATGAATTCCCCCAAGAGACTTTCTCTCTGCTAGATCCGAAATTAGGGACCCTGTCACGACCCGGCGTTCCCCGGGGCCAGACAACCTCCTCCCTAACCTTCTCCCATGCCCGAACACTCCCCGCACACTCCGCTCGCCGCCCGTCGCCGTCTAACCACTTCCCGCCACCTCTCCACAACACCTTTCCTCCTTGTTGTTGAACGACCTAGCGGTGCAGAGCGCCGCGACCCGTTGTTCCATGTTTCGCCGCACCTTGTTATCTCGCGGCGAAGGTCACGCTTGACCTTCGCTGTCTTGAGCACGTGCTCTTTGTTTGTTTTCCTGCTTCTTTTCTCCGCCCACAATCTCCGCGAGATCTGGCGACTTATTCCTTATTCAGTTCCCTAGCGCTTATATACGGCTTGTAACTAATGCCTGTACTGTAGTTCGAAATCAACTAGAATTACCCCCTAGAGCTTACCTCTGTCCCCGCGAGACCTCTGACCTTCTAAGTATCGGGACCGCGTCGAGAACGAGGCGCAACGCTCCTCCTCGAGTCGTTGAAGCCGAAATCCCGGTTCGCTCGCCTAAGTAGCCTCGGCCTCGAGATCGGTGGGGTTTATTCCTCGCTAAAGCTCGGTCGTGTGTAGGACGCCTATTCCACTAGCGGGCAACGCTCGGTCGCCTACGGCTACCTTCAGCGAAGATTCGCACGGTTCTGACAGACCCCCAGGACAACCAGCAATGGCACAGCGCTCCGCCTGAGTCGCTGAGGCCGAGGTCCTTCCATGCTAAGTCTCCGATTCCATTCCGGAGTCGTCCGAATCCCCGCGTTCTAACAGACTTTGACTAAAGCCCTTCTCTTATATATACCAGTAGATTAGAACTCATTGTACTCTAGTTCTAATCTCAACTAAAACATACTCCAAGTTCCCCCTATGAGTGACTTGTGTTTCCCTCTTACAAGATACCTCAGACAAGGACTAACGAAGACGTAATGGAGGCACAGCACTCCTTTCTGAGTTGCTGAGGCCATGTCCTTCTTAGAGCCCCTTGTAACACCCTGCAGACCCAGGCTTCCTGGAGAAGCTTCGGTTCACTACCAGAGCCCTCAGAACCCCTCTAGTTGAGCCCTGTCTGCATTAGGATCTCATCTCTTGTGGGTTTTGTCATATCCCAGATCTTTGTCAGGGACGTGTCCGGGGTAGAGGAGGCCCAGGTGAGATGCCCAACACTAGAAGTCTTGCAGGGTGTGGAGCAGGCATGCATACTGGCAGGCCTGGCTCAGGAGACAGTCCCTGGCCACTTAGACTGAAGTGGAAAAGGGTGAGAAGAAGGCTACTTCTTCGGTTCCCACTTCAGGTATGTTTATATACATGCGGCTTGGGTCACATGACGGGTGCCACATCATCCTCGCATACAGCCGTAGTCACCCAGGTGTTAGAACGGGGCTGATACAGACGACTCCGGAGTGGAATCGGAGACTTAGCATGGAGGGACCTTGGCCTCAGCGACTCAAGTGGAGCGCTGTGCCGTTGCCGCCCGTCCATTTGGTCCTTAATTTCACAGTAGGTGAGCAGGAAGTCTCTAGGGGGCATTTCAGGTCGATTTCGGACTGAACCAAAACGAGTATGTACAAGCGCCGATATATATAATGGAGGGGGCAAAAGCACAAGGAAACAAAGGGGGACCGAATCGGAACGAAGATGTCCGAACGGTGTTAGAATGGGCGGAAACGGACGACTCCGGAGTGGAATCGGAGACTTAGCGTGGAGGGACCTTGGCCTCAGCGACTCAAGCGGAGCGCTGTGCCATTGCTGTTTGTCCATTTGGTCCTTAATTTCACAGTAGGTGAGCAGGAAGTCTCTTGGGGGCATTTCAGGTCGATTTCGGACTGAAACCAGACGAGTATGTACAAGCGCCGATATATAAAGAAGGGGCAAAAGCACAAGGAGAACAGAGGGTGACCAAATTGGAACGAAGACGTCCGAACGGGAACAAAGGGTAGAGGGAGCGGAGCGGTACCGAAGGTCATAGGGCAAGACCTGTGATACGTCCGAAAGGAGGTAGAGAGGGCAAGGCCCAGAGGGGCAGGAGGATGAGGGGAAGTGGGGGTGATGACTAACTGGCTAGAATAGAAGAAGCAGTAGTCCAAATAGGGATGAGGGGGAATTGCGAGAAATACATTACAAACGGCGAGAGTGCCGGAGGCGGTCCGTGAAGCTCGGGGGTTGCGGAGCTTACGGAGGTTACGGAGGCGGGGTTGGAAGTCCGAGGAATATTGGCAATGGTGTTTACGTAGTATGAGGTCACCAATGCAATGGACTAAGACCGAGGTGGAGTCAAAGTCCGAGGTAGGGACTATGACGGAGGCTCGGAGTAAGGTATGAACGGTGTCCGAGTGTGAAGTACGGAGCAGCGGTGGACGGTCGTAACTTGGCGGAAGGGTAACGGAAGGAGGAGAGAGGGAGTGGCGGAAAGGAGAGTAGTCAGGTCCGAAGGTGAGTATCGGAATGGACGGGGGAAGCATAGGGGGATGACGGGAGGGTGGAGGTGTTGTGAGGGAGGAGCGGAGTTGTAGGAAGGGTGGCGAGTGGGGCGATGTTCGGTCCGAGATGAGTATCGGAGCAGACGGAGAAAGGGTCGGAGAGGTAAGAGGAGGGGTGTGTTGCCAAGACCGAAGGTGAGTATCAGAACAGCAGCGGTAGGTTATGACTCCGGAGTGAAGAGGGTGGAGGTCCGGAAGTCAGATCGGGGTCAGATATGCACGGATATGACAAACGGGAACAAAGGGTAGAAGAAGCGGAGCAGTACCGAAGGTCATAAGGCAGGACCCATGATATGTCCGAAAGGAGGTAGGGAGGGCGAGGCCCAGAGGGGCAGGAGGATGAGGAGAAGTGGGGATGATGACTAACTGGCTAGAATGGGAAGAAGCAGTAGTCCAAATAGGGATGAGGGGTAAATGCGAGAGATACATTACAAGTGCTGAAAGTGCCGAAAGCGATCTGCGAAGCTCGGGGGTTGTGGAGCTTACAGAGGTTACAGAGGCGGGGTTGAAAGTCCGAGGGATATTGGCAATGGTGTTTACATAGTATGAGGTCACCAATGCAATGGACTAAGACCGAGGTGGAGTCAAAGTCCGAGGTAGGGACTATGACAGAGGCTCGGAGCAAAGGTACGAGCGGTGTCCGAGTACGAAGTACGGGACAGCGGTGGAAGGTCGTAACTTGGCAGAAGGGTGGCGGAGGAGTACCAGAGGGAGGAGAGAGGGAAAAGGTAAGGGGGAAGGAGTGGTGGAAAGGAGGGTTGTCAGGTCCGAAGGTGAGTATTGGAGCGGACAGGGGAAGCGTAGGAGGATGACGGGAGGGTGGAGGTGTTGTGAAGGGGGAGCGGAGTAGGAGGAGGAGGAGTAGTAGGAGGGTGGCGACAGGGGTGGTGTTCGGTCCGAGGTGAGTATCGGAGCGGACGGAGATAGGGTCGGAGAGTTAAGGAGGAGTAGAGGTGGCGTGGGGGGTAGAAGGAGGTGTGTAGCCAGGACCGAAGGTGAGTATCGGAACGGCAGCGGTAGGTTATGACTCCGGAGGTGAAGAGGGTGGAGGTCCGGAAGTTGGGTCGGGGTCGGGTATGCACGGATATGACACCGGGTGTCCCTGTGGGGGATCCCAAGGGCATCCGCTGTGAACACGTGAGCTGGACATAGTGGGGGTTGCCCAAGGCGCCCGGGCTGGGCATGTCTGTCAGGGACAGCTCTGAAAGTGGCAAGGTCCCGGCACGAGGGACTCGATGGGACAGGTGTCAGCTATGCGTAGCGGTGGTCCCATCGCAGGGTGAGCGTCCCTGACCACTTAGGCTGAAAAGTTGGGTTATCATTAAAAGGGAAAAACTATGGTACTTACCTGAAGTGGGAAGTTGAGAAGAAGGCTGCTTCTTCTGTTCCCACCCCAGGCGCTATTATATACATGCACTTAGGGTCATGTGGAGGAAGCCATGTCATCTCCACACACAGCCACACCTCCCCGGGTGTCTCCACAGGAGATCCCAGAGGTGGCCGCTCAGTAGGCGGGGGTGTGCACGGTGTAGGCGGGCACAGCTGGTACCATGCAAACAAGCCGATTATCGCGATTCTACCACCCATGTCAAGTACCCCACTCCTGAAACACATCTCCCATTGTTCCATATATCCCTTCCACGTTTTTCATATTTCTTCCGATTTTTTCAAGCCATTCCCGACCACGGACAACCATCAGTTTCCAAATTGGGCAACTGTCACCCGCATATTCCGCCGCTTCCTCCATATCTCCATCAATTCTCCACCGATCCGGACGAATTTGGTATCATTGGAAAGCCCTTGTCAACACGAGTCGAACGATGTTACGAGTGACGCATCTGGTTCAGCGGTTGAGGTGATCGCCATGGTTCTTTATTTCCTTAACAACATCAATATTTCTTTGATATTGCTTTTTTCTTATTTGTTCCTTGTGGATCTGTTGCCGTCCTAAACCCGTCGGATCATTCGGATTTCCACGTATTTCTTTCATATTTATAACTGCCTCTTTCCTGTATTTACAAAGAGGACTCCCCCAACAGAGAGTGGTGCTCCCCAACAAGAACATGAAGTTCTAGCAAAGTTTACCAGCGCCCA